GTAAAAATAGGGGAAAGGGTGGCCATAATGGAAGCTGATTTTTTTGGGGTGGCCACTGTGCTCATCATTTTGATTTTTTAAATCACATCTGCAGACACCTTTGAAATAAAGGGAAGAAATCTTACTTTAAGAATGCTCTTTCTGTTGATGGCATTTGCTTGTTTCATTCAAGGGGTGGGAATAAGAAAGGAGCGATATTGTGGGGATCAAGCACAGACTATGATTGTACTGTGGTATCCTGGAAGTAGGAACATGACTCAGAAAACCAAAATTGGCTGTAATGAAGGGACAGTGAAATGGTTATGTAACATTAATATGTTGTTATCCAAAAGAAGGGGTTCTAGCAGGATATTTTGTCTCTGGCACCAAAAAGCCTTTGCCAGCCTTGTCTTTTGCGTACTTTGACATTATGTGTGAGAGTCCCATAACTATTCTGTTTATCAGAACAATAACATTGCTGTGTTCCTGACCCATATGTGGTTTCTTTGCATTCTGTTCTCCCACCTCCCTAGTAGTAGGCCTTCAATCAACAGGCATTTGAAACTCTCATTTCACATATTTTCTCTGTTCCTCTTCCAGAAATCAAGGAAATAGGGGTGGGGAGGGAAGAAGCATCCAATGATGGCACAATGTGTGTGATTTCAAGTATCCCTCCCAAAAGCCATCCTGAGTTGTTTACTACCAATGTAATCGCAATAGTTTCCAAACCATCACTCACAGGACAGATACTTATTAATCCTGGTAGTGCCAAGCGATGGGTCTTCATCTTAAAAGAAGCCCTCCAGAACTATTTCCCAAAACATCTGTCCAACTGAAAATATATCTTGCCCCTTGCGGCCTGCAGCACTAATGTAGGGGTCTCAGGGCAGTCTCATTTCTCCATGGGAATCTGCTTGGTAGAGCAAGCTGTATGTGAATTTTCTTTTGCTGTTTGCTGAGTTGGCATGGAGTAACATGAAACTGGCCCACAGTGTCCAATCTGTGCGTGGGTCTCTGCTGGATGATGCGTGATCAGGAGGTGCCCAGTTATGCTGACAGATACCATGAAAACCATGTCAAGATTTGAGAACATTGGACAAAGTGGCCACCAAGAGGCCTCTACTTTGTGCCTAGCAGATTGGTAGATGTAGATGGGCAACAGCACTAGAAGCCATCCTGGCTGGCTGGAAACATGTTTTCAATGTGTCCCCATACCCCAGAATGATAATCTTTGGATAGTATTGGCATGCAACATGTAAAGGGCAGACGACCTGCATATGGGCTTTCTTAGTATCTGTGGTTGCTTCTTCAGAAGCAGGATTGTATCTGGTATAAGTACACATGATGAAATAAAGGCAAATATATACAAATGGATTATCCATACTTTATATCTGGCTTACAAAACTAGACTGCCCCATTGTTTTATTTATTAAGCACCTTGCCAATTTGTTTTTTTTTTTAAATCATACAATAGGATTTTTAGAAAGCAAATACATAGACATGCACAATTAAAGGCAAATAATTCTGAAATATGCTATATTCTATCAGAAGATCTTATCTGCAGGCACTGTTGGACTGTGGATGTGGGTGTTTGTGTATGTGCGTGCATGTTGGTCACTGCATGTGAGTCTATTGTCTGCAGACAATTGAGAGATGTACTTGCTGAAAGCTCTTGGCTCATGCTCTCTCCAGAATTTGTTCTCTATCCAATAAAGATGGAATAGTCCAAGAATTATTCCCCTCCCCTTTGCGCTCTGCACACATGCCATTATTCTCCCTCTGTGACAATTCTTTCATAGACTTCCATGGTGCGCTTTCTCCTCTCCTGGCAACAGCAAAGGAGGAAAAAGACAAAAAGCTCCGTGAAAAAAAAAAAGTTGGCAGATGGTAGGCAACCCCCTCTTCCAGCCATTGTTCTTTTCAGCCTGTGCTGCCAACTCTAGGAGAAAAGGCATGTGGCTTCACAGTCAGATGGAGTCTTCTGTAAATGCTCTTGTACAATTAATGGCTTAGAAGGCATGACAAATTAAGATGGGCCATAAACAGGGGAATGAATTTGGAAAATGTCAATGTAATGGTTGCCAGATTGGGGCTTTATAGAGTCATTGGGAAATAAATCTTTCCTCCCCCCCCCCACACACACACATCACCACCACCACCAGAACTTCAAATGAAGCTTAAGTACAAAAGTAAGCTTTATAGGCAGTGTCACGTAGCCATTGAATAAGCTCGCATCACATTGTATGCAGGAGTATCCTTTAATTTGTGTAGCAACAGTGCCTTCATGCAACTCTAAACCCAGTGATCATCTATCACTTTTTAATTTACTCTCACGTGATTTGCGCGAGCACTAAATGCATTGGTGGGAGCAGTGGGATTACATCCGTAACTCTACTCTTTAGTTACAGAAATGGTCAATGTACAAATACTTTGATCAGTAAATAAACAAGCATGCTCTGTGCTTACATTCAGCATCTGCAGAAATGCTTATATCCAGAAAACATTCTCGGTGTCATCTGGAATCCTGGAAAAAACCAGAGCTACTGATTCCACTGCCTGCATAATTACATACATTTAGTTTACTTAGAAGGTGTGAATTTCCACATCTCCCTGAGCATGTGAGCTTTACATTCTGTTTTCCCTCCCAGAAGGTTCCACATTGCAAGTAATTCCTATCAAAACAAAATGTGTATTATTTATTTATATATATATCCCACCTATATTGTTTTTACAAATAACTCCAGGTGGCAAATAGATCCAACACACCTCCCTCCTCCTATTTTCCGCACAACAACAAACCTGTATGGTGGATTGGGGTGGAAAAGAGTAACTGGCCCAAAGTCACCCAGCTGGCTTTCATGGCTAAAGAAGGACTTGAACTCAGTGCTTTCAAGCCTGGTGAACTAGACCAAACTTGTTCTTATGGATCATTCATTCTTCTATGCTCAACAGTTTGTGGATTGTGAACTGGGAGGGGGGGAAAATGGCACTTATTTTATAAAATAAAATTTAAAAAAACCCTGAAGTTGGTCCAGAGTCTAAATCATCATCATTATCATTAAGTCATTTGTTTAATACCAAACTGGTAATAGGTGATGTATGAATTAAGCATTGCCCAGCTGATTATTTACCATCATTAAGTACCCTTAAACTAAATCACTTTTGATTTTGTGCAGATCCTCATTTCCTCACCCTTGAGCTCATTTCCTCTTATTTGGAATCGCCTTGCCATTTTAAAAATTATTATTTTATTATCATCTATACATTTTTCCTAACCAATCTCTTTTTGTGGGCCTTTTAATGAACACTTTTGTACTTAATTTTGTAAAATGTTCCGTAGTAGACACATTTTTGATTGAGCAATTGCATCAGAAAATGGAGCAACATGCAGACTTGAAAATGCAGGTGACGGTTTGTCCCGAAACTGCAAATTAAGTAATTCATTCAGTTCCTATTCTTATTTTATCATTTTATCAGAAATTGCACGTGTGTGATTCTGGTTCCAAGAATAACATATTGGGAAGCCAGCACGTTACCAGATAGAAGAGCAATCATGTATAAGCACACTGTATTATTATTATTCTTTCACAAAGCTCTTCATGGGCATATACTGTGTGTCAGACTTTAATTGGGAGGAATAAGATTTAAAACTTCACTTATTCACGGTTTGCCAAATATCCAGGATCCACTCTCTACTGAAACAATGTGAAACAGTTCACAGTTTGTCAAACAGAAGCATAAGATGACAGATTCTTTGCAAGTTGAATGTTATATGTTCTGGAACTGATAACAAAAGCAAAAGCAAGAAGCAAATCATAATGATTGATGGCTAACAATCCAAGGAGCTAGAGGAAGCAGGGAGACAAGCTCACAGTAGGGCAAGTTCATTTCCCATCTGTTCCCCCTGCAGATCTCTCCCATTCTTTAAGAAAAGAAATTTAAAAGTGACCAATAAGTTAAAATTAAAATAAGGCTGTGAATATGCCTATGTGGAATTTATTTTCACCCAAACTGAACAGGACGTTAGATAAAATGTGTTTAAGGTAGAGCATGAGTAAAAACTACAATGTTCTTTTCATTGTCAGAGTGTGTTTGCCTACCGTGGCAAAGTCAGAAGGAGTCTTGGAGTACCTTTTTCTGATTAACCAATTGTATTAAAAGAGTTTAGCTTTCATGCAACATCAGATAAAGTTGCACCTGATGAATTGAGTCACAGCTTATAAAACTTATGCTGATGTTTTTCAAACTTGATAACTAAGATGTGTGGATGCCAACTCCCAGAATTCCTCAGCCAGCAAAGGTGCTCCCAGACTCCTTCTTATTTGACTCTCTGTATGTCCTTTTCTCTCCAAACTCTAGAGTGTTTTGAAAATTCCTCTCCCTGAAGCCATCTCAGGTCTGAGCAGCCATTCCAAGTCTGACAGTCAACCAGGAATCTTAGGGCTGCAATTCCTAGAATTTTCAGCCAACATCACTAAAGATCATGCAGGAATTGTGGGAATTTCAGTCCCCCCACTTCTGGAGGATACTAGATAGGGGAAGGTGGGGTGAAGTAGCAACAGTTATCCTACTGTCCAATGTGCTTACTATAAAAAAATGGGAATATCCTAATAGCCTACAAATTATACAGACCTTTGTCTTATTTGTACATGTTGAAGTAGCCTACTTCAGCATAGAAAATCGCAGCAGAATTAGCACAACAAACCTTTACTAGAATGGACCCAAAGTTGATTTTCTTTAAGTAAACTTAAAGTTAAATTAAAGGATTCCATTTATTTTATAGGCCTCAAGCTGTATCCATCTTTTACTTTTACTCTAAGCCAAATGGTTTTATATTTCTGATTTCTTAATATTTCATCCTCCTGGCACATGTCCTTAAATCCATCTCTTTTCCTTGTATCTTCTTTCTTCACAAACATGCATCCAATTCAATAATTTGTTTATCCATAGCTTTACGGTTTTGTTTTGTTTTTTCTCTCTCTCTCTCCTTCCCATTTCCCTATCCCCCATCTCCTACATAGCTAAAGAAAGTTCACTGGGAGAGACTGAACTACAGGCAGGATCTGATTCTGCTGGAATGGATAGTAGTTACCTCAGCGTGAAAGAGACCAGTGCGAAGACGTCTCAAGAGAGGGCAAGTAATGATCTTCCCAGTCCAATGGACAAGACTGATTCAGAGAGCAACAAGGGCAAGAAGAGGCGTAACCGTACCACCTTCACCAGCTACCAGTTGGAAGAGCTGGAAAAGGTCTTTCAGAAGACCCATTATCCAGATGTCTACGCCAGAGAGCAATTAGCCATGAGGACAGATCTCACTGAAGCCCGAGTACAGGTAAGGGAAGAGGACATGGGAGCAAGGAAATTGGCAAGTCCCCAATGCAGCCATGTCTTCAACTAAAAACAGTAAGCAATAACCTTAGACTGGGATAAATGTACAATACACTTTGTAGTGTGTGTGTGTGTGTGTGTATGTGTGTGTGTGTGTATGTGTGTGTGTGTAAAACACCAAGCCATTTTTTCAGCTTTTTCTAAATTCCTATTAATTAATTAATTTATTATTTATTTATTAAATTTATTTGCCACCCATCTTGCTACAAGGTGATTACAAATTAAATGCTTAATTCAAGAAGGCAGGTTTTTGTGTTCTACCTCTAGCATTCCACAACAGCAGGCATTATACACTCATTGTATATACACTCATTGCATTATACTCTGGTACACTCATTATTAAAAATTCTTCAGAGAAGCTCAGTGCTGTAGCAGATGTTTTGAAAGTACAGATAGTCCTTGGTTAACAACCATTTGTTCAGTTTTCATTCAAAGCTGCATTGGTGCTGAGTGAGGAGACTTACGGATGGTCCTCAAATTTATAGTCTTTGCAGCATCCCTGCAGTCACGTGATCATGATTCAGACCCTTGGCAACCTACTTGCAGTTACAGTGGTCACAGCATCCCTGCTGTCACATGATTACCATTTTTAATCTTTGGTAAAGCAAAGTCAACGGGGAAGCCAGCAGGAAGTCCCAGATGGGCAAATCACCTGACATCTTGCGTAACAAGCTGCCATCATAAGTAGATGCAGTCATATGACATCACACTTTACAACTAAATTGCTTAACAACAGAGTTCCCAGTCCCAATTACTGTTGTTTATCAAGGACTACTTGTAGATGTTTGATTGTTAATTCTCAGCATCTCCAGCAAGAGTTGCTCTGAACGGTCATTAAACAAATGGGAAAGAAAGAAAGAAAGAAAGAAAGAAAGAAAGAAAGAAAGAAAGAAAGAAAGAAAGAAAGAAAGAAAGAAAGAAAGAAAGAAAGAAAGAAAGATGCAATTATAAATTGTGCAAAAACAATAAAAACCACTAACCCAAACAATATTTACCAGAAGAGCTTCCTTTCAACCAATTTCCAGAATATCATCAGGTTGGGTATCAGCCTAACTTCAAGCTGGAAGCAAATTCATAAACAAAAGCCTCCGCTTTAGGTTTTCAAACATCATAAAAATGGGAAACCAATACTAACTTTTCTCAGGAGAACTTATTAGACATGTTGACACTGGTTGGAGATACCTAGGTCCCAAACCATAAAGGGCTCTACAGGTTAAAGTCAGTATTTTCAGTTGTATCTAGAAATCTAGTGAAAGCCAGTGAAGGCCTGTAGCAAAGATCTTATATGGCTGTGGTGATTCTCACTCAATACATGGGTTGCTGCCAACTGCAGTTGCCGAAGCAGCACTGAGCAACATATTGCAGTAGTCTAACTGGGTGGTGAGCTACCTTAGCCAAGATCTGGATATACAGCTGCATACAAGTGCTTTTTAATAATTAGTCCTGTTTGGGAGCCATTTCTTTCTCTCTTGCTTCCTTACTGTGTTCTACCTGTGTTCTACCTCTGCCTTGCTTCCTTCCACAGTGTAGAGAGCTGAGAAACCTTTGTTCATCTTAGAATCCTCTCTTATTAATGAAAATCATTTCTAGCAATGACCCTGCCCTGTGGAAGGCTTTTGAAAGCAAGGTGAAATGTCAAACTTTGCTGAAGCAAAATCCTTGCTGAAGAAGAAAGAGGAGGAGGGCAAAATAAACTGTCAAGCAAAAAAGTAATATGTCTTGATCCCCCCTTTCCCATAAAATCTTGGGAGGCTAGTGGAAGGAGTGGAAAGACTGAACTAAGCCTGCAGGAAATTAAACATGAAATGAAAATAAGCTAAAGCCATTCGGCTCTCTTATCCCAAGCTCGAATTTCCCATTCCAAGCCACTGATAAAATGGTGTCCAGTTTCAGTGATTAAAGATGAATTCTGGCTCTATTCCTGTACTCAAACAAGAGAACAAAGCCCTTGCCCTCTAAAGGAAAGGGAAGGATAAGCAGGATGAAAAGCAGGGCTATGGAAATGTTTGAGAAAGTCAGATGAGGCAAGAAACAGTGATCATGAGAAAGAGCCTGATGTGTGGGTGTGGGAATGTGGTCTGCCTAAGTGACAACCCACTTGGAGTATGTTAGGGATGAACCACAAGTAAGAGTCAGAAAATAAGACAGTTATATATTTGATATTCTTGCATTAAGTATGGTTCATGCCATCAATGTACAAACAGAAAGTTCTAACAAGCTTGAAATACATTTTTTATGAAACTTATAGGAACAGATGTTTGTTCCTTTTATAGCCCAGGCAAAGTTTGTCAGGGCTATCACATGCTGAGATTTTAAAAAAAACAACAAATCCTTACTAAAAACTAAACTAAAAAGTGGGGAGAAGAGAGCAGAAAGAATCTGGCCTGACAAATGACTGCTTGGTATAATTAATGTTTTTGGATTGTTTCCAATTTTTTCCTCTGCTGGAAGAAAACAGCCTATTCCAGTGTTTTTCAATCTTAGCAACTTTAAGATCTCTGGACTTCAACTCCCAGAATTCTGGGAATTGTTCACGGTTCTCTTATTTAAAGCATAAATTGTTCATAGTTGTGGTAGCAGTAAGAATAGTAGAAATAACATGCCTTCCAAGTTATGGAAATTCTATAGCAATCTAACTAAATGGTGTTCTCTACCACATGAAGCATTGTGAACCTTTTTGTACATAGTTTTCCCATTTATCTAAATCAAAGAGAGAAAGTGCCCAATTAAAGTGGGTGGCAATAACTTAGTCAACTTGGAGTGATCTCAAAAGGGAGAGCATAATAGGAAGTCAAGAATCAAATTCAACTTGAAAGAGACATTATTATTAAAAGAAAAAAGATATTTTTTTATACACCTGATGAAAGATTTCCTGCCAGTACCAATTTTCCTACACAAATTTGGGAAAAGACATGTGGAAAATATTAAGGCTTCCCCCACTATGAGGTGCAAGGACTGATTAGTTCCACTCTGTCTAAGGTTGTTGATGAGAGCAAGCAAGACATAATATGATGTCACATAATGTCCATATTATGTGGGGGAAGTAAACATTAGTAATCTGTTCTAAGTAGCAGTTGTAGTTGGCCATAATATATAGGTCTGTCCATAACACAGTTCACAGTTATATTCAAAGGTGATGTCCATCTTCTTGCTATTTTAGATATCTTGACGACATTATAAAATTCTTGATGCATATGGCAAATGGTTTCATTTCTTTCTCATATGGAAGAGGAAAGTGTTTAGAAAGACCGTGTGCTAAAACTGAGTAAGGGGGCACCCTTTGATGGCTAAACACATCAGTGCTGTGGAAGAAAAAAGTCACAACAGACAGGACAATGGCACAAAGTGGGAAAGGACTAGCAGAGAATTCCTTTTCCTTTTTTTTTCCTGTTAGGATGGAATTTTCCTTTCTTTTAAAAATACGTTCAACCTCTTTTAGGTCATATAGTGGGTTTTGGTTTTGGTTTTGCTGAATTCATGCAAGGGCTGAATTCCAAAAAGTCCTTCCATAACTTCTTGCAAACACAGAAAAATGTAGGTGCTGTATGAAGCCATTCCTTGGAAGGTTGCTCCTTTATTCCTCCTTAAACTAGTGGCCTAGTGGTTAGAATGCAGCATTGCAGACTAATTCTGCCATGTACCAGCAATTTGATTCTCACTGACTCAAGGTTGACTCAGCCATCCATCCTTCCGAGGTCGTAAAATGAGGACCGAGATTGTTGGGGGCAACATGCTGACTCTGTAAACCATTTAGAGAATGCTATAAAGCACTGTGAAGCAATATACAAGTCTAAATGTTATTGCTATTGCTATATTTACAACCATTTGGACTACCATTTTAAACTGTGCCTGGAAATAGCCTAAAACCAGCACAATAAATTAATAACTATGAATTACAATCTGAAGACCCCAAATGAAATTTTTAAATGCTTAATCGTTGTCCCTCTTTCTGTTTTTCTCAAAGTATGCCCAGATGTTTCCGAGTGTGTATATATAGTGGCTTGGCCTGTATCATTTATATAAATCAAATTTTCATTCTTACTTGATATAGAATCTGAATTATTTTAGTAAAAACAAATATGCCTATGAATAGATAATACACAAAGAAGCTTAACAAAGATCTGGGCTACAACAAATATGTTTGCACATATAAGTTAAGGCTCTGTTGAGAGAGTTAACCACAGGCATTTGTTGAAGTAACCCAGAAGTTGGCTGTGGTCAATAATAGTAAATTATCATTTTGCAAGGATTCACAAAAAATATTTTCAGGATTTGCCAAATACAGAATCATGTACATGGTGGGACTAAACTGAGAATTTGGCTTGGATACAGTTCTGGGATTCAGAAAATAACTTACTCAAATAAGGTTCCACTCCAGATGAGATTTGGTGAACTTTCTGACTGACAAATACATGGTTGGTTAAAAGGTACGTACGTGTTGTGTTTGTTGTGGTTTCAGGGTTTAGTTTGTTAATTTTAGTCTCAAATTGCCCTCCAGCTAAAGCGACCTCTTCCAATTAATTATGATAGGCTTTCAGAACCTCACAAAACAGGCTTTTTCTAAAGACTTCATCTCTATCACTTCTCTTTATGTTTCACCCCATTCATTTATACCAGTGATGGCGAACCTTTTAGAGACTGAGTGCCCAAACTGCAACCCAAAACCCACTTATGCGTTGTCAAGTGCCGGGTGGGTGTGGCCCATTGGCTGGGTGTGGCCAGTTGGGTGGGCGTGGCTATGGTGGTAACGGCAGACTAGGTGGGACTAAAAAGTTCAATCAATCAATTCCAACTTTGCAAGATCTTTTTTTTTTCCGTGAGAAGTTGAAATTGACTGATTGAATCTTTTTTTTTTTTTCACATGGCAGTGGAGGCCTAAAACGAAAAGGTTTTTATAAAACCCAGCTGAAGGCTTAGGATTGGGGCAATGGTGCACATGCCCAC